TCTCTCTCTGGTCCCATAGAAAGAGTCAGATAGGAAAATTGCTTCTTCAATATGCTAGAAGCTTCAGAGAGAGATCCAAACTGTAAGCGATGAGTTACTGATTAACATAAACACTGAAAGTCTTTGGGAGTAAGCCCCAAGAAAAGAAAAATTAGTACCTGCCACCTTGCAGGACATATTTGAGAGAAGAAAAGGCTAAGGGGTAAACCCTGCAAAAATCCAGACTGGAGACCCTAAGATGGTTGGATCTGATATCCTTCCGGCAACTCCTGCAGCCAAGCTGGTGCCAAATATATATTGTTTTGCTTTCCTTTGGACCACATCAGCGAGGCCGAAAGGGGGTGTCTTGTCATCTGGGCAGTGCAGGACCTCTATACACAATACACACAAACATAGCATTTTATGCACATTAAACTTTTACATGCTTTGCCTGTTAATATAGCTGCCCATTTGTGCTCTTGCTCTAACTCTTTGGATATTTATTGAGAAGCTTTATTTGGAAGATCAGTTAAAGAATTTCATTTCTGCTCTTTGTAGGGAAAACTGCAAGAAATGTGGTTGTGTGGCATGTGTATTTCATTCTCAGCTGAAGCTTTGTTTTGAAATAGCTATTATTATAAACACATGTCTTTTAGATACCCTGCTGTGTCGACAATGCCAGTCTTTGCCACCAGATCTAACGTGTCAAAAATACGATGGCTTTGAAACCTGCAAAGCTGACCCTGACACCAAAAACTGCAATGTAGCCAGAATCTACAAAGGTAGGTTATCCTAAGCCCACTGATATCACCTTCAACAGAGAGGCCTCATTCCAACAAGATGGGGTACACCTGTCCGATGCGGGAACTAATGTGTAGTTGGCTGACCTGGTGGGAGGTTTAAGGTCTTGGCTTCCGATGTGAGCCGTTTAGTGGTGAGCATTTGCTCAAGTGGCAGTTTAGGCATTGTAGTCTTGGGTGGAGGGGAGGTTGTAGTCTCTGCCTGTCAGGAGCTTGTCCTACACTCAAGTAGGACCCTGGTATGTTCTCTCCCTCCTGGCCGATCGTTCAGGAACTTCAAAAGCTTTCTTCAGCCCGAACATCACAGTGACCGATGCCAACTGACACCGACACACTCAGGGATCTGCAAAGTTTGCACAACTTGCGTGACAGACCTCAGCAACTCAGCATTTTGGCTAATCTACTTTATTTACATATAAACACACATGGAGCACTGCAACATGGCTCCCTCTCTCTCAAGCATCAGACAGCAAAGAGAAAGAACAAAGGACAATAGTCCCACTTCACAGAACGACTCCCGGCTGGTTGCCCAGGAATGTACAAAGACAAGGGAATACTTCTTACCATCCTCTTTTTATTCAGTATTTACAGAGAGAGCCTATAGAATCCAGCCTCTTGGATAATGCCGTTGTCCTGAGTGAATCTCCACCCCTTGTCTCTCCCACTTCCTCATTTGTCAATTTCATTGTCTCTGTCCTCTTTGCTCTCCTACTTTCAAGGCTTGCTGGGTTCAGGGGGGATCTGGAATGCTTTCTAAAGACACAGTGTCCATCAGCTGTCGCCCCCTGATGCTTCCTCCTTCTCCTCTCCCATTATTTCCCAACTTTTCCCCTCATCTGCCTCTGAGCTGTGACCTCTCTCAAACCCTTGTTGTAATTCTGAACTGTCTTCTTCCTCCTCCCTGGAAGAGTCAAGCTGGGGAGGCAGTCTCCACCATTCCTCCTCTGCCCAGTCCGTGACCATTAGTAGCCCAGTGCAGGTGTATATGGCGACTAGACATATAATAGGAATAATTAATTATTATGGTAAAAATAGCACGGCTCACTCTTTTTCCATGCCCCCCCCTCCTTAGGTGGAAACCTATATTCCATTGTACGTGGATGCTGGACAAATGAAGACTGCAATGCTGAAGGAAGCTTTGATGACACCAAAGTCATTGTAAAATGTTGCAGTGACAGTGACTTGTGCAATAAAGAAATATAGAAAAGTCTTAAAGCCACCTGAAGTACTTCAACATAGACCAGCATATATATATTCTTATGTCTTTGGCTGCCCTTCACCATTTCCTTTCTCAAGAAGATCAAATTGAAGTTGTGGCTATCTCTGTAATTCCGTGAACTGATTAGAATGAAAGCTACTATGTTATTCTGGTGTCTTGGTTTTATTTTTATTTCCCCCTCCCCATAAGGTTGCAGAAGAAAACCTGGAAAATAAGCGGCAAAATCAGTAATGGCTGAATCTGCCGATTTTGATTTCTCTCAGTTTCTCATTTTCCTAATTTCACATCATCAAATTAGTTGGCACTTTTTTTTGTTCAGAAAGGAAGTCCTCATGAAAATTCATTGACATCTTAATATGATTTTTCTCCTAATATAAACATATCTGTAAAACATACTATACCCAAGCATATTCCACAAGCAGGGCATCCCTTTCTTTGCATGAGAGCCTGCTAGCTATTTCGGGCACCTCGATTTCACACCAAGATCTTGCCTGTATAAAACCCACTTTTTCCAGTGACACAATCTTGTGTGGTCACATGACTCACATTGGAGTACGGCTGGGAAGATGTGTGTCCTAATTTTGGGACTCAGCATGTTGGAGAGCATGCCTATGTTGATACATTTTTGTGCACTTTACTTGTATTGCAAAATTCAGAGATGAGTGAATTTTGAAGGAGGACTGTGAATCTGGTTGCGTATTATTTCCCAAAGTGTAAATTTGGTATATTCACCTTTAAATGCAAACTGAATCAAGTTTCTCCCCCACCCCTAGGCACAAACCTCACAGGTGTTAAGATATACTTAAGAAGACTTCTGTGTGTTTATTTTTAGTTAATTTCATACAATTTATATGCCACTTTATTATAAAAAACCCTCAAAGCAGTCTATGAAACTTCTTTGTAACATTGATCTAACTGTGCAAACAAACAAACCAACAAACCGCCATTTCCCAAACCTAAAATTGTGATGAATGAAGGAGAGAGGGAATGTGAAGATAGGTTCTACTTGCTTTTATGTGTTGAACTTAAAGGCTAGGACCATATAATCTTTTATATGGGCAGGGCCAGACCAGGGTGGAATGACTTTAAATGACAGCTGTCTAGTCTACACAAGGCCATACATCTCATTCCTCTGTCCTGGGAGGAAGAAGCATGACCAGAGCTGTAGGACACATTCCAAATGGGAAAATGGACTGAGAGAAGATGCAGAGCAAAGACAGGTGAGACGGTGGCATGGCCTGGTGAGAAGGACTGGCCAAGAAGAATCTGGGAGGCCATATAGAGAGGACCACATTCAGCACCCAGCCTCCTGCTACAACCTGGCTATAAGCAGCGAGAGATGAAGGCTTAGATTCCAGAAATTGGCTTGGCAATCTCTCAGTTCTGTGGAGATGTGCTTTTTAATTCAGTGTATAACCAATCCTCGCTTCCTCGCTTCAGTCTAAATGTTTTCCCTGACATGTCTCCATCATTCTTCACCAGGATGTTCAGAATTCTTTGAAAAGGTTCATGCCCACCTCACAGTTCTATTGCTCTTTGGGGGCTCAGAATGTGCAGGTGGCAGCCTTCAGGGAGGAGAAGTGTTTACCTGACTTTCCAGCAGTGGAGATGCTGCAAATTACTCAGAGGATGAGTCGGAGCTAGGAGGCCAGTGCTATGTAAATGCTCTGGTGGAGTCAAATACAGCACACTCTGCCATGCTTACTCTCTCACTGACCCTCCAGGGAAACTGTGGGATAACCAGCCTCACATAACCAACATGCTTATGTCTAATTAATGCATGAAGGGCATCATCATCATCATCATCATCATAATTTATTTATACCCCACCCACCTGGCTGAGTTTCCCCAGCCACTCTGGGCTGCTCCCAACAGAATATTAAAAACACAATAAAACATCAATCCCTAAAAACCTCCCTAAACAGGGCTGCCTTCAGATGTCTTCTAAAAGTCAAATAGTTGTTTATTTCCTTGAAATCTGATGGGAGGGCATTCCACAGGGTGGGTGCCACTACTGAGAAGGCCCTCTGCCTGGTTCCCTGTAACCTCACTTTTTGCAGTGAAAGAACCAGCAGAAGGCCTCTGGAGCTGAACCTCAATGTCTGGGCAGAATGATGGGGATGGAGACACTCTTTCAGGTCAAGGCCGTGTAGTGCTTTAAAGGTCAGCACCAACACTTTGAATTGTGCTCGGAAACATACTGGGAGCCAATGTAGGTCTTTCAGGACCATACAGTAAGCTGTTCTGCCAGCTTTAGCTTACTTTGGGAGGGAATGTTAATCAAGCCTATTGTTCCCCTTCAGTCTACCTGAGAATCACAGCGTGTGAAGAGGTTTGAGCTGGTTGCTCCAGCTGAACCACAAGACTCTCACCAGCCATTCTTGAGTTCATATACGAATATTTAGGAGCTTTCACCACTTGGTAACAAAACCAAGTTTTACTGCCAGTGCAACTTTCTGCATCACATACATCTGACCTTGTGCTACCTGTTGCTTCTCTGGTTACCAGAGCATGCTCAAAGTTCTCTCCATGCTGAAAGCTAGGGAGATCTGGCCTTCATGAAAATAGGTCTGGGCATGCTCAGAACAGACAGATGATTCTATCAGGGTTGTCGGGGCATCTCCATGGAATGTCCTCTTGACAACAGGAGAGAGAGTGGGAAACTGCTCAAGTGGGGCTGGCTGTCCTCTTATAGAAACATGGGAGGGATATTATTATTATTATTATTATTATTATTTGGAATTACTTCTGGATTAGATATTAATTACTATAATTCATTTTAAACTAAAGTATCTCCCTTCAAAAATGCTTGAGACTTAGCAAAGTTTACAAATTGAATGACCAGGTGACTACATCGTTCAAGAAACTGAAGGTTTCGCTCCATCTTCAGATGCAGTCTCACAAAGAGTGTGTTTCACAAGTTCTACCTGTGGGATCTTTATGAAATCTGATTGGGAGAAAGAAAAAGTGTTTGAAAGGAAAGGGTCCATGCATGTTTAGGTTTATTGCCCATCTCCAATTATATTACAATAGTCACGATCGTCACAGCAGTCAATTTTGATGGCCGCGTCGTTTTCTGGAAATTCTTCATTGATACCACAAAATGTACTAGTTACAGGTGGCTTACAGTTGTGACAGCAGTCTTGGTGTATTACAGACAGCGTTCCTCCTAGAACGAGATCCAGAGAGAAAATAAGGAAAGAAAGGGTTTGACAAATTGCCCTTCTTGAATAGGTATCTCATAAACTAAAGTATCTTAAAGGCACAGCTCAAATGACTTTTTTCATATATTTCATACATTTTATTTCCTATACAGTACTTGTACTGAGGCACATGATCACTTTGTGTCGTCAGTATATGCAAATGGCTGGTTCATTTAAGGCTATATTGAACTTTTATTCTCAATAATAATGGAACTCACAGATGGCGAATACTCTTTATTATTTGTAAAAGGAATCTTTATATGAGTTCATATTTTATTGTCCCTTTGGAGGCACACTGTATCTTTGTATTTTGGTCTTCCAGGCTGTGATGCTATATGGTTTAAAATTCTGATAATTTGTTTTGCTTGTTTGCACTTTTTGTTGTTGTCAAGAAATCAATTAAAAATAAATAAATAAAGTGGATCGTGGGTTGTCCCCCCCCTTAAAACCAGCCAACATAAAATGTCTAAAATTTGCATGTCCTCATGAGATACACCTTGAGTAAGCTACTCGCATTCTCCTTCCTCCAGAGATGAGATAAGGGGAAAAGGGTCCACTGCTCAGAGAGGACTTTAACCCTGGCCCAAGACAAACATGCTGTACTTTGGACCAAGGCGTGCACCTTGCAGGATCAATCTAGCTTGTCTTTATGTGGGAGGACCCTGTGCAGTTCTGCTGCTTTGCAAAAAGATTCCCTGCATGCAAGGAAGACATTCATGAAAGTGTGAAAACCAACCATCCAGGCTCAAATCCTCCAAAGTGGGAGGATCTGAGACTGTGCTGTGCGGCTTCAATAGGCAGGAAAAAGGAGAGGCCTAACAGTGGGCTTCTTGGACTGTATTCCCCCCTCACCATCTTTTGATAGAACACTAGTATTTTTGCAGCAAGAATTCCCTCTTTGTTTTATAAAAACAAAAGAAGAGAAAGTTTGGGGAGAAGAGTTCCAACAGTTTGGGTATATGCAGTTGGAGCTCTGGAATATAGATTACCTCTAAACTCCTGCATGGTAATGCAGGCATGTGGTCCAGACGACACTTGACAGGCAGTTCGTTCACTAGCCTCACTGGTTACAACATTGGTTTTGCCTTTTGTACATAACAAAGCATCTGCTTTGGAAGACAAAATGTACATGATCAAATCTCTTGCCAACCCAAATCTCAGCTAAGAAAGGACCAAACAACCTTAGCTGACAAATTTTGTTACAATACTTCATGTATACAGCAGAAAAGAAACCCTGAGGCCAGAGGTCATCCAGGTGAAATGTCACCCATTTTCATCATCCCTGGGCTTTCCCTTCTGGCTGAGTCACTGTCATGCCATTGCATAAAGAATTTAGCTTTTGTGAGGAAGTAGAAACTCATCTTGACTGAAGTCTGTGGATCAAAGGAACAAGAGCATTGTTCTTCAACTATGGATCCTTAAATGTTGTTGGAGTGCAGCTCCCATCATCCCTGGACCCTGACCCTTGGCTAAGCTGACTAGGGAGATTGAGAGGATGTTATCCACCCAACAACATCTGCTGACCCAAGTTTGAAGAACACTTGACTAGAGAAAGAAGGACCTGTTCAGACATAACAGGGAAGTTTAAGCTGTGAGGTCGAGTGGGCTGACAGACAAGAAGAGGAATGTTGTTAAGGAACACTAAGGAACAAAGAGGTTGAGTGACCAGAGGAAGTGATCAGAATGGAGAGAGGTCTTGGACCCTGGCCATGAGCATTGAGCTGTGTCAAGCAATAGGTTGCATCTGAGGCAGAAATCCTTGCACTAATGGGATGGCTTTGCTGGAACCAACTTTATGATTTACTGAACTCCTGTCTTTTGCCTGTCGTGCCAGCTTCAACTGGCACGACAAGAAGAGGAATGTAGTTAAGGAACACTAAGGAAGAAAGAGGTTGAATGACTAGAGGAAGTGATCGGAATAGAGAGAGGACTTGGACATGGGCCATGAGCACTGAGCAAGCAACAGTTTGCATCTGAGGCAGAATCCTTGCACTAACAGATGACTTTGTTGGTGTCAGCTTCACCTTTGAGCCAGTGCCAACAACTGGGCTCAACCTCTTCAGCCCCGACTGGGCCAGGTGAGCTGGGAAAGCACTTCCAGAGACCTTCCACTGCATGGAGCAGGTCTAAGTGCTGTGGACTCACAACTTAGAGCTGTGAGCACCAAACTCAGTACCAAAAGTCAGCGGAGCACAGCAGGTATGAACCACACGAACGACAGCTCTGAAGTATAACTTCATTTATTCTCTACAGCTACTGCATAAACTGACTAAAAACTAATCGGAGACGCTGGACTGCATGAGTATTACAGCTGCTTGAGCAGTCACCTTATCTATATACACTCAGACCCCCACAGGCTGGAGCGGAAGAAGCGAGGAGCAAAATTCGCCCCCTCCTTTCTGAAACATTGTCAGCAGATTCTTGCAATGGGAGGGGTGAAACATCCTCAGTTGGAACCTACCTTATGATTTAATGAACTCCTATCTTTTGCCAGTACTGTGCCAGCTTTCTGCATACATATATAGACACTGAATTCCAGCAGATAATTTTTTACATACAGCTGGATTGGATTGAATATTTGGCTAAATTTCCCTCATGTTTTTCTACTACAAACAAATATGACGCCTAAATTGGCCCTGCCAATTTTTTGAAATTTTTTGAATTTTTTTCTCCATTTTTTGAAATGAGATTCCTTTCTTTGCCAGGTCTTCGCTTAGGAATTGCTTTCTGTGTGAAAATCCTTCTCCAATCCCTTGTCAATGGACCTTACCTCCAGATGTGAGGAGGAGAAAGGCAGAGATTGCAAGGAGCAGGATCTGATTCTTCGGGGCCATCTTGGAATCGAGAGGGTTCTGTGGTCACAGCACAGCTCAAGTCACACTGGCTTTCAGCAAACTGGAGAAGAGGCTTCCTTTTATCCCCATGAAGAGACATCTCCAAAAGAATCCAAGAGAACATCATGTCCCCTGAAGAGGATCAAAGAGACTGCAGTGTGGTCCTATCAGCCCACTTGTGGACAAAATAAGAAGCTGTAATAGATACAACCCCACAATTATAAGTGCATTTACATGTATATAATTAACTATGAATCCTATTTTTAAAATTAATTTGAATGAGTTACAGCATTTCATATTTGCTCCAGATCCTGATCCAGAACTGTTCCTACTAAAGTTTATAAATAATGCCCACACATAAAAACATTCCCCACTCCAATGCTATCTTGCGACTAAATGTAATTGCATGCCAAGACCCCGAGGCTTCCCCCTTATGTTGAATAATAACAGATGGACACCCTATATGGGCAAAAATTAGGCCACAACTTTATTGGTTAGCCAATGTGAGCAGTATTGGCTTAGGGATTGGAATTGAACCAACTATATCTGACTCCTGTCTGCTTGCAGGAAGTCTCACAAGGGTTAACCATCAGTAGGGGGAGCCCTGCTGATGCACATCAACCCCTCCAGGGTCACTGAAACCAGGTTTACCAATGCCTAATCAGTAACCTCCTGGCAAATAGAAGGGGAAGAAATGGAGGCACTGAGAGATTTTACTTTCTTGGGCTCCATGATCACTGCAGATGGTGACAGCAGTCACGAAATTAAAAGACGCCTGCTCCTTGGCAGAAAGGCGATGGCAAACCTAGACAACATCTTAAAAAGCAGAGACATCACCTTGCCAACAAAGGTCCGTATAGTAAAAGCCATGGTTTTCCCAGTAGTGATGTATGGAAGTGAGAGCTGGACCATAAAGAAGGCTGATCACCGAAGAATTGATGCTTTTGAACTGTGGTGCTGGAGGAGACTCTTGAGAATCCCATGGACTGCAAGAAGATCAAACATATCCATTCTTAAGGAAATCAGCCCTGAGTGCTCACTGGAAGGAAAGATCGTGAAGCTGAGGCTCCAATACTTTGGCCACCTCATGAGAGGAGAAGACTCCCTGGAAAAGACCCTGATGTTGGGAAAGATTGAGGGCACAAGAAGAAGGGGACGACAGAGGACAAGATGGTTAGACAGCGTTCTCGAAGCTACAAACATGAGTCTGACTAAACTGCGGGAGGCAGTGGAAGATAGGAGTGCCTGGTGTGCTCTGGTCCATGGGGTCACGAAGAGTCGGACACGACTAAACGACTAAACAACAACAATCAGTAACCATTCCTCCTCTGCCCAGTCCCTGACAATCAGTAGCCAAATGCAGGTGTATATGGCAACTAGACATATAATAGGAATAATTAATCATTATGGTAAAAATAGCACGGCTCACTCTTTTTCCATGCCCCCCCCCTTAGGTGGAAACCTATATTCCATTGTACGTGGATGCTGGACAAATGAAGACTGCAATGCTGAAGGAAGCTTTGATGACACCAAAGTCATCGTAAAATGTAGCAGTGACAGTTACTTGTGCAATAAAGATATATAGAAAAGACTTAAAGTCACCTGAAGTACTTCAACATAGACCAGCATATATATATTCTTATGTCTTTGGCTGCCCTTCACCATTTCCTTTCTCAAGAAGATCAAGTCAAAGTTGTGGCTATCTCTGTAATTCCGTGAACTGATAAGAATGAACGCTACTATGTTATTCTGGTGTCTTGGTTTTATTTTTATTCCCCCCCCCCCCATAAGGTTGCAGAAGAAAACCTGGAAAATAAGTGGCAAAATCAGTAACGGCTGACTCTGCCGATTTTGATTTCTCTCAGTTTCTCATTTTCCTAATCCATTCTTCACATCTTCAAATTAGTTGACACTTTTTTTTGTTCAGAAAGGAAGTCCTCATGAAAATTCATCGACATCGTAATATGATTTTTCTCCTAATATAAACATATTTGTAAAACATACTATACCGAAGCATATTCCACAAGCAGGGCATCCCTTTCTTTGCATGAGACCCTGCTAGCTATTTTGGGCACCTCGATTTCACACCAAGATCTTGCCTCCAAAAAACCCACTTTTTCCATTGCCACGATCTTGTGTGGTCGCATGACTCACATGGGAGCACAGCTGGGAACATGTGTGTCCTAATTTTGGGACTCAGCATGTTGGAGAGCATGCCTATGTTGATACATTTTTGTGCACTTTACTTGTATTGCAAAATTCAGAGATGAGTGAATTTTGAAGGAGGACTGTGAATCTGGTTGCGTATTATTTCCCAAAGTGTAAATTTGGTATATTCACCTTTAAATGCAAACTGAATCAAGTTTCTCCCCCACCCCTAGGCACAAACCTCACAGGTGTTACAGATGTACTTAAGAAGGCTTCTGTGTGCTTATTTTTAGTTAATTTCATACAACTTATATGCCACTTTATTATAAAAAACCCTCAAAGCAGTCTATGAAACTTCTTTGTAACACTAATCTAACTGTGCAAACAAACAAACCAACAAACCACCATTCCCCAAACCTAGAATTGTGCTGTATGAATGAGAGAGAGAATGTGAAAATAGGCTCTACTTGCTTTTATGTGTTGAACTTACAGGCTAGGACCATATAATCTTTTATATGGGCAGGGCCAGACCAGGGTGTCTATTCTACACAAGGCCATATTTCTCATTCCTCTGTCCTGGGAGGAAGAAGCATGACCAGAGCTGTAGAACACATTCCAAATGGGAAAACGGACTGAGAGAGGATGCAGAGCAAAGACAGGTGAGATGGTGGCATGGCCTGGTGAGAAGGACGGGCCAAGAAGAATCTGGGAGGCCATATAGAGAGGACCACATTCAGCACCCAGCCTCCTGCTACAACCTAGCTATAAGCAGCGAGAGATGAAGGCTTAGATTCCAGAAATTGGCTTGGCAATCTCTCAGTTCTGTGGAGATGTGCTTTTTAATTCAGTGTATAACCAATCCTCGCTTCCTCGCTTCAGTCTAAATGTTTTCCCTGACATGTCTCCATCATTCTTCACCAGGATGTTCAGAATTCTTTGAAAGGTTCATGCCCACCTCACAGTTCTATTGCTCTTTGGGGGCTCAGAATGTGCAGGTGGCAGCCTTCAGGGAGGAGAAGTGTTTACCTGACTTTCCAGCAGTGGAGATGCTGCAAATTACTCAGAGGATGAGTCGGAGCTAGGAGGCCAGTGCTATGTAAATGCTCTGGTGGAGTCAAATACAGCACACTCTGCCATGCTTACTCTCTCACTGACCCTCCAGGGAAACTGTGGGATAACCAGCCTCACATAACCAACATGCTTATGTCTAATTAATGCATGAAGGGCATCATCATCATCATCATCATCATAATTTATTTATACCCCGCCCACCTGGCTGAGTTTCCCCAGCCACTCTGGGCTGCTCCCAACAGAATATTAAAAACACAATAAAACATCAATCCCTAAAAACCTCCCTAAACAGGGCTGCCTTCAGATGTCTTCTAAAAGTCAAATAGTCGTTTATTTCCTTGACATTGGAAGGGAGGGCGTTTCACAGGGCGGGCACCACTACTGAGAAGGCCCTCTGCCTGGTTCCCTGTAACCTCACTTTTTGAAGTGAAAGAACCAGCAGAAGACCCCTGGAGCTGAACCTCAATGTCTGGGCAGAACGATGGGGATGGAGACACTGTTTCAGGTCAAGGCCATTTAGTGCTTTAAAGGTCAGCACCAACACTTTGAATTGTGCTTGGAAACATACTGGGAGCCAATGTAGGTCTTTCAGGACCATACAGTAAGCTGTCCTGCCAGCTTTAGCTTACTTTGGGAGGGAATGTTAATCAAGCCTATTGTTCCCCTTCAGTCTACCTGAGAATCACAGCGTGTGAAGAGGTTTGAGCTGGTTGCTCCAGCTGAACCACAAGACTCTCACCAGCCATTCTTGAGTTCATATATGAATATTTAGGAGCTTTCACCACTTGGTAACAAAACCAAGTTTTACTGCCAGTGCAACTTTCTGCATCACATACATCTGACCTTGTGCTACCTGTTGCTTCTCTGGTTACCAGAGCATGCACAAAGTTCTCTCCATGCTGAAAGCTAGGGAGATCTGGCCTTCATGAAAACAGGTCTGGGCATGCTCAGAACAGACAGATGATTCTATCAGGGTTGTTGGGGCATCTCCATGGAATGTCCTCTTGACAACAGGAGACAGAGTGTGAAACTGCTCAAGTGGGGCTGGCAGTCCTTTTATAGAAACATGGGAGGGATATTATTATTATTATTATTAGTATTATTATTTAGAATTACTTCTGGATTAGATATTATTACTATAATTCATTTTAAACTAAAGTATCTCCCTTCAAAAATGCTTGAGCCTTGGCAAAGTTTACAAATTGAATGACCAGGTGACTACATCGTTCAAGAAACTGAAGGTTTCACTCCATCTTCAGATGCAGTCTCATAAAGAGTGTGTTTCACAAGTTCTACCTGTGGGATCTTTATGAAATCTGATTGGGAGAAAGAACAAGTGGTCGAAAGGAAAGGGTCCATGCATGGTTAGGTTTATTGCCCATCTCCAATTATATTACAGTAGTCATGGTCGTCACAGCAGTCAATTTTGATGGCCACCTTCTGTTTTGGATATTCGTCTTCGATATCACAAAATGTACTAGTTACAGGTGGCTTACAGTTGTGACAGCAGTCTTGGTGTATTACAGACAGCATTCCTCCTAGAACGAGATCCAGAGAGAAAATAAGGAAAAAAAGGGTTTGACAAATTGCCCTTCTTGAATAGGTATCTCATAAACTAAAGCATCTTAAAGGCACTGCTCAAATGACTTTTTCCATATATTTCATATATTTTATTTCCTATACTTGTACTGAGGCACATGAGCGCTTTGTGTCGTCAGTATACGCAAATGGCTGGTTCATTTAAGGCTATATTGAACTTTTATTCTCAATAATAATGAAATTCACAGATGGCGAATACTCTTTATTATTTGTAAAAGGAATCTTTATATGAGTTCAAGTTCATATTTTATTGTCCCTTTGGAGGCACACTGTATCTTTGTATTTTGGTCTTCCAGGCTGTGATGCTATATGGTTTAAAATTCTGATAATTTGTTTTGCTTGTTTGCACTTTTTGTTGTCATCAAGAAATCAATTAAAAATAAATAAATAAATAAATAAATAAATAAATAAAGTGGATGGTGGGTTGTCCCCCCCCTTAAAACCAGCCAACATAAAATGTCTAAAATTTGCATGTCCTCATGAGATACACCTTGAGTAAGCTACTCGCATTCTCCTTCCTCCAGAGATGAGATAAGGGGAAAAGGGTCCACTGCTCAGAGAGGACTTTAACCCTGGCCCAAGACAAACATGCTGTACTTTGGACCAAGGTGTGCACCTTGCAGGATCAGTCTAGCTTGTCTTTATGTGGGAGGATCCTGTGCAGTTCTGCTGCTTTGCAAAAAGATTCCCTGCATGCAAGGAAGACATTCATGAAAGTGCAAAAACCAACCATCCAGCCTCAAATCCTCCAAAGTGGGAGGATCTGAGACTGTGCTGTGCGGCTTCAATAGGCAGGAAGAAGGAGATGCCTAACAGTGGGCTTCTGGGACTGTATCCCCCCTCTCACCATCTTTTGAGAGAACACTAGTATTTTTGCAGCAAGAATTCCCTCTTTGTTTTATAAAAACAAAAGAAGAGAAAGTTTGGGGAGATGAGTTCCAACAGTTTGGGTATATGCAGTTGGAGCTCTGGAATATAGATTACCTCTAAACTCCTGCATGGTATAGCAGGCATGTGGTCCAGACGGCACTTCACAGACAGTTCGTTCACCAGCCTCACTGGTTAGAACATTGGTTTTGCCTTTCGTACATAACAAAGCATCTGCTTGGGAAGACAAAATGTACATGATCAAATCTCTTGCCAACCCAAATCTCAGCTAAGAAAGGACCAAACAACCTTAGCTGACAAATTTTGTTACAATACTTCATGTATACAGCAGAAAAGAAACCCTGAGGCCAGAGGTCATCCAGGTGAAATGTCACCCATTTTCATCATCCCTGGGCTTTCCCTTCTGGCTGAGTCACTGTCATGCCATTGCATAAAGAATTTAGCTTTTGTGAGGAAGTAGAAACTCATCTTGACTGAAGTCTGTGGATCAAAGGAACAAGAGCATTGTTCTTCAACTATGGATCCTTAAATGTTGTTGGAGTGCAGCTCCCATCATCTCTGGACCCTGACCCTTGGCTAAGCTGACTAGGGAGATTGAGAGGATGTTATCCACCCAACAACATCTGCTGACCCAAGTTTGAAGAACACTTGACTAGAGAAAGAAGGACCTGTTCAGACATAACAGGGAAGTATAAGCTGTGAGGTTGAGTGGGCTGACAGACAAGAAGAGGAATGTTGTTAAGGAACACTAAGGAACAAAGAGGTTGAGTGACCAGAGGAAGTGATCAGAATGGAGAGAGGTCTTGGACATGGGCCATGAGCACTGAGCAGTGTCAAGCAACAGGTTGCATCTGAGGCAGAAATCATTGCACTAATGGGATTGCTTTGCTGGAACCAACTTTATGATTTACTGAACTCCTATCTTTTGCCTGTACTGTGCCAGCTTTCTGCATACATATATAGACACTGAATTCCAGCAGATAATTTTTTACATACAGCTGGATTGGATTGAATATTTGGCTAAATTTCCCTCATGTTTTTCTACAACAAACAAATATGACGCCTAAATTGGCCCTGCCATTTTTGCATGTGGAACAACCAATCTTCTCCATTTTTTTGAAATGAGATTCCTTTCTTTGCCAGGTCTTCGCTTAGGAATTGCTTTCTGTGTGAAAATCCTTCTCCAATCCCTTGTCAATGGACCTTACCTCCAGATGTGAGGAGGAGAAAGGCAGAGATTGCAAGGAGCAGGATCTGATTCTTCGGGGCCATCTTGGAATCGAGAGGGTTCTGTGGTCACAGCACAGCTCAAGTCACACTGGCTTTCAGCAAACTGGAGAAGAGGCTTCCTTTTATCCCCATGAAGAGACATCTCCAAAAGAATCCAAGAGAACATCATGTCCCCTGAAGAGGATCAAAGAGACTGCAGTGTGGTCCTATCAGCCCACTTGTGGACAAAATAAGAAGCTGTAATAGATACAACCCCACAATTATAAGTGCATTTACGTGTATATAATTAACTATGAATCCTATTTTTAAAATTAATTTGAATGAGTTACAGCATTTCATATTTGCTCCAGATCCTTATCCAGAACTGTTCCTACCAAAGTTTATAAATAATGCCCACACATAAAAACATTCCCCATTCCAATGCTATCTTGCGACTGAATGTAATTGCATGCCAAGACCCCGAGGCTTCCCCCTTATGTTGAATAATAACAGATGGACACCATATATGGGCAAAATTTAGGCCACAACTTTATTGGTTAGCCAATGTGAGCAGTATTGGCTTAGGGATTGGAATTGAACCAACTATATCTGACTCCTGTCTGCCTGCAGGAAGTCTCACAAGGGTTAACCATCAGTAGGGGGAGCCCTGCTGATGCACATCAACCCCTCCAGGGTCACTGAAACCAGGTTTACCAATGCCTAATCAGTAACCTCCTGGCAAATAGAAGGGGAAGAAATGGAGGCAGTGAGAGATTTTACTTTCTTGGGCTCCATGATCACTGCAGATGGTGACAGCAGTCACGAAATTAAAAGAGGCCTGCTCCTTGGCAGAAAGGCGATGGCAAATCTAGACAACATCTTAAGAAGCAGAAACATCACCTTGCCAATAAAGATCCGTATAGTAAACGCCATGGTTTTCCCAGTAGTGATGTATGGAAGTGAGAGCTGGACCATAAAGAAGGCTGATCACCGAAGAATTGATGCTTTTGAACTGTGGTGCTGGAGGAGACTCTTGAGAGTCCCTTGGACTGCAAGAAGATCAAACGTATCCATTCTTAAGGAAATCAGCCCTGAGTGCTCACTGGAAGGACAGATCGTGAAGCTGAGGCTCTGATACTTTGGCCACCTCATGAGAAGAGAAGACTCCCTGGAAAAGACCCTGATGTTGGGAAAGATTGAGGGCACAAGAAGAAGGGGACGACAGAGGACAAGATGGTTAGACAGCGTTCTCGAAGCTACAAACATGAGTCTGACCAAACTGCGGAAGGCAGTGGAAGATAGGAGTGCCTGGCGTGCTCTGGTCCATGGGGTCACGAAGAGTCGGACACGACTAAATGACTAAACAACAACAATCAGTAACCCAGTGCACCCTGACAATCAGTAGCCCAGTGCAGGTGTATATGGCGACTAGACATATAATAGGAATAATTAATCATTATGGTAAAAATAGCACGGCTCACTCTTTTTCCATGCCCCCCCCTCCTTAGGTGGAAACCTATATTCCATTGTACGTGGATGCTGGAGAAATGAAGACTGCAATGCTGAAGGAAGCTTTGATGACACCAAAGTCATGGTGTCCATGGGGTCACGAGGAGTCGGACACGAGTAAACGACTAAACAACAACAACACATGCACATTGTACTTAGGGTGATGGTGAATGCTCAGTTGATGCACAGCTCAGCCTGTCCCAAGAAACTGAAATATCACTGATCATAATGATCCAACTCCTGTCCATAAACATTTACTTGCACTATTAGGTATAGTTGATTTCAATGAATTCCATGAAGTGCAACTTATTAGTGCACCCAGAAGCCATCAAAGAACATTTAGAAAACAAACAAAAAAACACAATAAAGCTTTCAAAGCTCTCTCTCTCCTGCTTTCATATCTCATATTCCATATCTCATATTCATGTGGCCAGGCTATGATTTCATGGTTAACTGCCCTTTCATTTCTCCATCTTATAAAGACAGGGTATCTTCTAGAGGGTTTTGCATGCATGCTATCAGAGAGGTTAAAGGGAACTGCCTACTCCACAGGGCAGGGAGCAGAGATCAGTTTTTTTTACCTCTATGAGCTAGGGTTTTGCCCAGAACCCTTCTAATTCCAAGATGAGCGTAAAGGATCAGATCCTGCTCCTTGCAATCTGCAGGTACAATATATCTATCTATCTAGAGAGAGAGAGAAGGTAGAGAACAAGGAGGAAATCATAACATGTAAGGTCATAACAATAAGTATACAATAATCAAATCAAATAAATATATTGTACAGAGTTTGAATCAATAAGCTATTCAAACCAACAAAGAATTCCAAAATTTTACTGCAACCTGCCTTTAAATTTGTTACAAAAATGTTGAAAATACAAATCAACTCATTGCTCTTAAACAACTAGCAATGTAGTCCAGTTTTAAGTTCTTACTTCTTAATATCATCCAATAACTATTCTCTCTCTGGTCCCATAGAAAGAGTCAGATAGGAAAATTGCTTCTTCAATATGCTAGCAGATTCAGAGAGAGATCCAAACTGTAAGCGATGAGTTACTGATTAGCATAAACTCTGAAAGTCTTTGGGAGTAAGCCCCAAGAAAAGAAAAATTAGTACCTGCCACCTTGCAGGACATATTTGAGAGAAGAAAAGGCTAAGGGGTAAACCCTGCAAAAATCCAGACTGGAGACCCTAAGATGGTTGGATCTGATATCCTTCCGGCAACTCCTGCAGCCAAGCTGGTGCCAAATATATATTGTTTTGCTTTCCTTTGGACCACATCAGTGAGGCCGAAAGGGGGTGTCTTGTCATCTGGGCAGCGCAGGACCTCTATACACAATACACACAAACATAGCATTTTATGCACATTAAACTTTTACATGCTTTGCCTGTTAATATAGCTGCCCATTTGTGCTCTTGCTCTAACTCTATGGATATTTATTGAGAAGCTTTATTTGGAAGATCAGTTAAAGAATTTCATTTCTGCTCTTTGTAGGGAAAACTGCAAGAAATGTGGTTGTGTGGCATGTGTATTTCACTCTCAGCTGAAGCTTTGTTTTGGAATAGCTATTATTATAAACACGTGACTTTTAGATACCCTGCTGTGTCGACAATGCCAGTCTGTGCCACCAGATCTAACGTGTCAAAAATATGATGGCTTTGAAACCTGCAAAGCTGACCCTGACACCAAAAACTGCAATGTAGCCAGAATCTACAAAGGTAGGCTATCCTAAGCCCACTGATATCACCTTCAACAGAGAGGCCTCATTCCAACAAGATGGGGTACACCTGTCCGATGCGGGAACTAATGTGTAGTTGGCTGACCTGGTGGGAGGTTTAAGGTCTTGGCTTCCGACGTAAGCCGTTTAGTAGTGAGCATTTGCTCAAGTGGCAGTTTAGGCATTGTAGTCTTGGATGGAGGGGAGGTTGTAGCCTCTGCCTGTCAGGAGCTTGTCCTACACTCAAGTAGGACCCTGGTATGTTCTCTCCCTCCTGGCCGATCGTTCAGGAACTTCAAAAGCTTTCTTCAGCCCGAATATCACAGTGACCGATGCCAACTGACACCGACACACTCAGGGATCTGCAAAGTTTGCGCAACTTGCGTGACAGACATCAGCAACTCAGCATTTTGGCTAATCTACTTTATTTACATATAAACACACATGGAGCACTGCAACATGGCTCCCTCTCTCTCAAGCATCAGACAGCAAAGAGAAAGAACAAAGGACAATAGTCCCACTTCACAGAACGACTCCCGGCTGGTTGCCCAGGAATGTACAAAGACAGGGGAATACTTCTTACCATCCTCTTTTTATTCAGTATTTACAGAGAGAGCCTATAGAATCCAGCCTCTTGGATAATGCTGTTGTCCTGAGTGAATCTCCACCCCTCGTCTCTTCCTCATTTGTCAATTTCATTGTCTCTGTCCTCTTTGCTCTCCTACTTTCAAGGCTTGCTGGGTTCAGGGGGGATCTGGAATGCTTTCTAAAGACACAGTGTCCATCAGCTGTTGCCCCCTGATGTTCATCCTCCTCCTCTCCCATTATTTCCCAACTTTCCCCCTCATCTGCCTCTGAGCTGTGACCTCCCTCAAACCCTTGTTGTAATTCTGAACTGTCTTCTTCCTCCTCCCTGGAAGAGTCAAGCTGGGGAGGCAGTCTCCACCATTCCTCCTCTGCCCAGTCCCTGACAATTAGTAGCCCAGTGCAGGTGTATCTGGCGACTAGACATATAATAGGAATAATTAATTATTATGGTAAAAATAGCACGGCTCACTCTTTTTCCATGCCCCCCCCTCCTTAGGTGGAAACCTATATTCCATTGTACGTGGATGCTGGACAAATGAAGACTGCAATGCTGAAGGAAGCTTTGATGACACCAAAGTCATTGTAAAATGTTGCAGTGACAGTGACTTGTGCAATAAAGAAATATAGAAAAGTCTTAAAGCCACCTGAAGTACTTCACCATAGACCAGCATATATATATTCTTACATCTTTGGCTGCCCTTCACCATTTCCTTTCTCAAGAAGATCAAGTTGAAGTTGTGGCTATCTCTGTAATACCGTGAACTGATAAGAATGAAAGCTACTATGTTATTCTGGTGTCTTGGTTTTATTTTTATTTCCCCCCCCATAAGGTTGCAGAAGAAAACCTGGAAAATAAGCGGCAAAATCAGTAATGGCTGACTCTGCTGATTTTGATTCCTCTCAGTTTCTCGTTTTCCTAATCCATTCTTCACATCTTAAAATTAGTTGACACTTTTTTTTTGTTCAGAAAGGAAGTCCTCATGAAAATTCATCGACATCTTAATATGATTTTTCTCCTAATATAAACATATTTGTAAAACATACTATACCCAAGCATATACCACAAGCAGGGCATCCCTTTCTTTGCATGAGAGCCTGCTAGCTATTTTGGGAACCTCGATTTCACACCAAGATCTCGCCTCTAAAAAACCCACTTTTTCCATTGCCACGATCTTGTGTGGTCGCATGACTCACATGGGAGCACAGCTGGGAAGATGTGTGTCCTAATTTTGGGACTCAGCATGTTGGAG